ATATCTCTTCACTGCATTAATCAAATGTTCGTCCAGTGTGAAATGAACATTCACTCGATTTGGACGGTCTCTCGCTCATCCTTTGTCGACAGGGATTATTAAAACTTTCCATTCCTCATAATAAAGTTTCATATTGAAAGCGCGGACTAGGCCGGATTTTTCGCTGCGTCCGCCCGCTGCGCCAGCCATCTTTAATTGCATCGAGTGTTGCAACCTCGTAACGGACCCAGTTGCGAAATGAAAGCAAATTGGGGTAAAACGAACAAACACGCAATCAGCACTGAAACAGGGGTGCGGTGATTGGACGCAACAACTGTCCGTGTTTGGTATTAGCTAGATATGATGCTATGCGTTTTTGTTGTAGATATATTTTTTTACATATTGTTTCATACTAGTGACCGCTCGCGACTTTGTCCTGTGGGATTATCAAGAAACCGGACAATGTGATTTGATGATGTGAGGGATAATTTTTATCCCGTAAAATTTAAACAAACAAATGTATCTAAAAAATATTTACTGCACAAAATTCGATTGTATGTACACGCACAGGCAGTATTTTTGCCGTTTAGTTTAGGTTCTTACCTTAAATTTTACGGGATAAAAAGTATCCTATTTCTCAATCCAGGTCATTGCATACCAAGTAACATCCAAATCCGTTGTAAGAAACATACAAACTTTCACATTTATAAATATTAGTAGCATTCACATGTTATTATTTATTGCACACCACAAATAGAACAGATACAACATGTAATTTCTTGTACAAAATGTGACATCTGCAAGGACATAGCGATTTTACAATAAAATCATCAAAAAAACGGCCCAGTGCGAGTCGGACTCGCGCACCGAGGGTTCTGTACAAACCTGTAGGTATATGTACGGTTTTCGCATTTTTTCCTTTATCTGTGCTTTAAAACGTTGATTCGTACCAAATTTCAAGATTCTGAGTACACGGGAAGTATCCTGTAGATTTTGATTCCCTTGCAAGTTTAGAAAGAAACGGCTAAACGGCTGTATCTTTTGATTGCGTCGGCTTAGAAGTCTGATTTTTTCGCAGCTCCAAGGAACAGTACACCATTCAATTCAGAGTATTTGATACAAATTTCAGCTTGACACCTCCACGCGTTCCTTAAAAAAGGGTCTTGATAGACGGATGTACGGACGGACAACAAAGTGATAGCGATCCTATAAGGGTTCCGTTTTACCTTTCAAGTTACGGAACCCTAAAAAACTAATACAGAATGTAAAATAATGTAATTTTTATTTAATCATCATAACACAAAGGATATTTTTTTCATACGAGAAAAAGAAAAAATTTAAAAACTAATAGCTGAATAATTTAGTCATCATCCTTATTTCGGAAGCAAATGACAACTCATTCTTGAAATATGTAGGGCAATTCAGGGCAATTCTGTAAAATAATATCTCTTTTCCAATTCGATAGCTGTCAATTCAGACAGAAGTTTGATATGCAATACGTCATTACAAGATAAAATGTCGCAATTATTTTTGAAGCAGCCGGAAAGAGAAATTTGACAATTGTCAAAAACACGAATAAATAAGATCGTAAGTGAGATTGTATGTAACAAAATCGACATGCTGTTTTTATAGTTTAACCTAAGTGAAACGTAGCTGCATAATATGCAGATCGCAAACAACAATCATAAACTCATCCTTTTAACTTTGCCGTAGTCGTGCGTGCTTTCATCCCGATTTAAATCTGCAAGCATTAAAAACTGCCATGCGAATTACGATTGTTAAGTACTGAAAAGTCGTTGAGAGAAATGTGGAGACGATTATTTTTAAACGAAGCATTTGCAAAGTGATTCGTTGTCATCGTACATATATAGTTTAATACTGTTTAACCATATTCGAGAGAAGAGAAGTCGGCTATGCCCTACATCTCATGTAGCCGATTTCTCGCTCGAATTGTAGCGCCTTTCTAAAAAATATCACTACCTTTTGGTGGTGTGTGCATCTGCTACAATGTGGAAGCAATCCTGCCTTCTGTAGTAGATATACATACATAGGTAAATATATATATATATGTATTTACCTATGTATGTATATCTATGTAATTATATGTGTTTATTTGTTTTTTATTGGAGGAGCTCGATGGCGCAAGTGGTTAGCGCGTTCGGCTGCGATCGTCGAACTTAAGCAGCTTTCGCAGTGGTCGGTCATTGGATGGGTGACCAAAAATTACTATCTCGAGCTCCTCCGTGTTTCGGAAGGCACGTTAACCCGTTGGTCCCGGTTGCATCTGCAGTCGTTAGCACCCACCAATCCGCGCTGGGCACGCGTGGTGGGTCATGGCCCAATCTCCCTATTCCATCCATAGGGAAGACCTGTGCCCCAGCAGCGGGGACATTAATAGGCTGATGATGATTTGTTTTTTACACTCGGTTTGTACAGATATTTCCTCGCGTATAATTGCAGTAATAACACCACCGTCTTTCCAGCTTCTTTCTTGTCCTGTCCATCCCAAGGTTGTCTGAAAGAGATCGCTCGTGGCGATAAGGCCGTCCATTTTAACACTGTAAGTAGCCATTATGTATAATGTTTTATATTTTTTTGTGGTGTAAAATAAAGAGTTTTATTATTATTATTATTCACGCAGACGACGTCGCAGCGCAATACCACTCACTGGTTAATCACTAAATCTCAGAAATTATAACATCTACAAACTTAAAACTTGGCAGGTTAGGTTCCTTATAGGGTGTAGATATCCGCTAAGAACGAATTTCACGAAACTCCACCCCTAAGGGGACGAGGGTTGGAAGTTTGTAAGAAAGTCCTATGTTTTTTAAGTAAGAAACTTGAAATTTAACATGTAAGCTCTATAGATGGTGTAGAGGTGTAGTAATAATGTGTCTTTAGAAATAAACCCCCTTTTGGGGTCAAAAACTATGTGCAAATAACTACGCGTACGAAGTCGCGGGCGGCCGCTAGTATTTTATATAGAAAATATTTGTAAGTATAACTTGTTTATGTTATATATTTATATTGTTAGTTTACTTACAAATATTTTCTATATGTATTTGTTGTATATGTTAAGTACCTACAGTACTTCGATAAATTAGACATTGAAACACGTAATGAATAAAAGAAGGCCGAAGAGAGAGATTTATAGAGGCAATGAGTCTGAAAGCGTTGGGAAAGGAAGTTCAATAAGAATTCTCACTGACTGAATATGGGGTATATTCGATGAGGAGCTCGATGGCGCAGTAGTTAGCTTATTCGATGGCAATTGTGGAAGTTAAGCACCTTTAGCAATCGCTAGCCATCAGATGGGTGACCAAAATTATTAATCTCGAGCTCCTGTGTGCTTTGGCAGATGTATTAGCCTCGTGACACCTGGAGGGTTAGAAACATTGATGAAATCGACGCCGAATTTTCTATGGATAGAACTATGGAAAACCTATTTATCCACATCAAAATTTTATTAATTAACTTTTTCGAAGCTTCATTTAATTCGGAAACTTTTAAGAGCCCTTTCACATTTTTTGCAAAAAATCGTAATTTTTCCGTTCCCTCTCTCGTTTATCTCGTTTACCCCCTCAGAAAACATTTTTGCCTATTTTCAATAGAAGTAAACAGTAGATTTATTCTTCCTTTTGTAAGTTAATGTATTACTACGACATCAGAAATATGTTTTTGTTGTAACAAAATGTATTAGAATTTTGATTTTCTATCTCATTAATTATCAAAAAAAAATCTAACCTCCGTGAGTTTTCCCAAAAAATAATGCAGGTTTACCTCGTATTTTGATATTGAATTAAATAGAATTACTATCAAAAACTTTCATAAAACTATATCTTTTATTATTGAACTACTGAGACATGTATATATTTTTATAATTAGTTCATTAATAATTATTTTATAAGACTCGAAACATCACCCGTAAAATGCAATATGTACAAATTTACCTACGCGCCGATCAGTACGACAGCAGCGGCGCAATTTTGTAAAAGGGCTCTTAATACCTCCAGGGGTTAGGAGTTCCCCCCTCTTCTCCTAGGAGAAGACGCGGGGAGACGTGGGCGACCGGGAGGGGGGAGAGGGACGGGAAGAATTACGCTTCCCCTCCCGTTCCCCCTCCCAGGAACGGCGGCCCCCCCACTTGTAGTTTTGCCCTACAAAGGGGGGGGGGGGAGGGTACTTGGACGGGTACGCCCAGGAGTCCCCTCCGCAGCGGATGGGGGGCGGTATGGTAGGCCGCGTACCCAGCCCCCACGCGCGGGCCTACCTGGGTCCCCGAAATACCGCGGTAGACCTCTGCCGTGGAGCCCCGGCGAGGCCGGGAAGCTGCTGGGGCGGATCCGTGGTAGAATCCCTAACGGGGACCCTGCGGCTCCGCACTAAGCAGTGTAGAGGTATTCGCAGGACTTTTTTAGCTGATATTATGCTTTAAAGCGCCCGTAAGAGTTGCGGGGTCCTCGGTGGGTAGCCACTGGGGGGTCCGTAAGACTTGCGGGAGCCAGGTGTGAAGTCCGTTCGGCGGTGTGCCTCTTAAAGGCGCCGTCGTCTGTAAAAAGATTTTTTACCTGCGTTATAAAAAAAAAGGGGTTAGGAGTTGCTGAGTTGAGAGAGAAACCGTTGAACCGCGATTTTTATTACTTGCTACTCTAAAGCACTTGTCCATGCAGTGGACCAGCCACTGCATGGACATTTCAAGAACTTTTTTCCGGTTTCGTACCCAAAGGGTAAAAACGGAACACTTTTGCTGTCACTCTGTCGTCTGTCTGTCCTTATATCTCGGGTCTCTAAATTGTTAACGGAATGAGTTACAGCAATTGAGTTACTGAAATTTTGGTATTTTATGTAGAAAGTTTGCCCTATTCGGAATATTTAGTTAAAATATCTATTTCATTATTTTTATGAGGGTACACATGAAAAGGAGACCTTTCTTTTTCTTTTTTTCTTAAACACTTCTTACTAAATAACATTCACGACAAACCGTGATTTTTGAAAAAAAAATGTTGTTACAGTTTTACAATTGAAAAGTGTTGCTGAGGAATTTGTTATTTGATTTTGAACTATTTATATTCTTTATAAAAGCATCAAAGATATTGTTTTATCTTTATAACACAGAATATACGTAATAATGTTATATTGAGTTCACATGCATCGTGTTTGGATGTCCAATTGTGTCTAAAGCGAATTGTGGTCATGTCCAAAATTTAAGCGGATCACTTTTGAGTCGCGATTGATACTCAATGAGCTCAAACTTAGATTAAAACAAAAAAGGATAGAAATATAATTAATAGTATTTTTATTTTCATTAATATTGAATGGGTGTGGCATGGAAGTTGTCAATTTAAACCATTTTTGTTATAAATTACGTATATAGAATGAATAAATAAAAAGGTAATTTATAAAGCAAGCTTTGAATTGAATGGAAAGGTTTTGATTTACACTTTAACCATGATATATTGATTTAATTAAGTCATATCACCCTTTATGAAAACTAAATAACTACAGGACATAGAAGACAAGCAACATAATTGTACTTAACAACATATTTTAATAGCAGTACTTATTGACAGTGCCTTGTGAGTAAATTAATGAATATTTACCCAGCTGCAGAATTCTGTGACTATCTACTTCGATATAAATAAATACGCTTTTATTACAAAGATATCTTATGTACCTTTATAATGACTCAGAAGAAGAATAGTATCTACATTATTTATTAAATTTGTTCCATTCTGCATTCAACTTCCATTTGTTAATCTTACTAATATTATAAATGTGCAAATTTATAAGATTGTTACTCGATTAGGAAAAAGACACACATAGTTTATCACCTTTATTGAGGACATAGGATACTTTTTCCCGGAAATTTGTTAGATTCCAGAGGGATTCTCAAAGAGATAAGTTTAACGCGGATAAAATCGCGGGCGGCCGCTAGACTTCATAAAAAATTGTTACACTAGAAAAAAAACTATATTTTTGAAGTGATAACTTCTTATGGGAGGATATGCCAACGTTTATTTCGTTATGTAACACGTTAGGGCGCCAGTCTGTCTGGCTTCCCTTCCTCTCACTCATACGGCAGAGGTAGGCAGGCTCCTCCTCTCTCACTCTAACCCGCTGCGCCGCTTAAATTAATTGAAGTTATCACTTCTGTCGTCTGGCTTCCCTTCCTCTCACGCATACGGCAGCGGTAGGCAGGCTCCTGCTCTCTCACTCTAACCCGCTGCGCCGCTTAGATTGATTGAAGTTATCACTTCTGTCGTCTGGCTTCCCTTCCTCTCACGCATACGGCAGCGGTAGGCAGGCTCCTGCTCTCTCACTCTAACCCGCTGCGCCGCTTAGATTATTGAAGTTATCACTTATGTCGTCTGGCTTCCCTTCCTTTCACGCATACGGCAGCGGTAGGCAGGCTCCTCCTCTCTCACACTAACCCGCAGCGCCGCTTAGATTAGTTTAAGTTATCACTTCTGTCGTCTGGCTTCCCTTCCTCTCACGCATACGGCAGCGGTAGGCAAGCTCCTGCTCTCTCACTCTAACCCGCTGCGCCGCTTAGATTAATTGAAGTTATCACTTATGTCGTCTGGCTTCCCTTCCTCTCACGCATACGGCAGCGGTAGGCAGGCTCCTCCTCTCTCACTCTAACCCGCAGTACCGCTTAGATTAGTTTAAGTTATCACTTCTGTCGTCTGGCTTCCCTTCCCTTCACGCATACGGCAGCGGTAGGCAGGCTCCTCCTCTCTCACTCTAACCCGCAGCGCCGCTTAGATTAGTTTAAGTTATCACTTCTGTCGTGCGTCCCGAGGCGCATACGCGTTTTTTTATTATAAATATTGAGGATCGCCTTGGCAAATGATATGTTAACATGAACACCGGTTTCAAGGTATCGCATACTCTAAGGTTCAAATCTCGATAGAGCCAAATATTTGTATGATGATCATTCAATTCAATTTGCATTCAGTTTTGTTCACGAGTCATGACTATTCATATACATATTTCTGTAAAAATTAACTTATTCTATAGCCATTAACGGAGTAAGAGTTACTCCGTGATCAAGAAAGTTAACTAAGGGACCATGAAAGTTTAAAACAATATAACTTACTTATTATCTACGAATCATTATATGTATTTCTATTATACTAGTATCTCAAAACAGAAGCGTCACAGCGCATACTTTCGGGCTAATATGTCAATTGGTGTAAATAAATGAGTTCCAAATAATTATTTTTAACTAAATTAAGACTATCTTACAGGAAACCGCTTTGTTGTTTACGAATTATACAGCTAACCCTACCAATCCATAATTCGAATATATTTATATGAGCGTGATAATATGCCTATTGTTTATAGTATACCTAACTGTTTATTTGTATATTTAAGCAAGTTTCCCTTGTTTTAGAATAATTAATCGGTTTGACATATTTTATTTATAAATTAGTTTTTACAGCACATTTGCCTGAAACAAAAGAAAAAAGATATATTATATAAAATACAACATTTTTTTCGATGCAATATCTATTGTATCTACCTAGTTATATTTATTTAATAGTAATAAATTATGTATATAAACACACTTGTTACACCTATAATTTTAATTAATGGTATGAATAGTTCTGCATCTGCATGGAAATTACAGCATAGACAATTTTAATGTATAAAGCAATGTTTTTTAGTTTTTTAAATAATTTTGGAAGGATAAAATATAAGGATAATATGTTTAGCTACAGCTTGTCGGTACTTGCTTGGTAATGATATAAAGAAAAAAATACCAAATAACATCTCCCACAACACATTTCAATCAAATTGGGTGTTATGGGGGCATATCCACTCCTCTGAAAAAAATTAAGTCCTAAGTCGAAATTTTCGCAGATTTTATATGAAAGTCGAAGTTTCATATAAAATCTGCGAAAATTTTCTAAGTATATATGTATGTCCCCAACTGTATATACATATATCCAAAATAAATACCAAATCACAGCGGAATATATAATTTATCCATTTCAAACCCACAAGTATGAACATTGAATATCATGAATAACAAGTAAAAGTAAACTTATATTTTTTTAACAAAACCATACTTTTGCCTTGTACTAAGTATAACAGCTTAACAGATGTGCTGAATATATTTACACAGAACTAAATACTTATAGTGTACTTGGCGTCGAGCGATTTCATTTGATATCAAGATGTGGAAATTAACGTGTTTTCTCGCCATATTGACTGTAGTTGATGCTACCAGTCCACCACCAATCGATTGTCCAAGTACCTATTTATATTTCTAATTTATAATTATAGATACTAATGACTATCGTGGGTTACTGATTTTAAACATCAATTTTGTTTTTAGAACCATGCCCTGATAAATGCAAAGCGACTTGTGCCAATCCAAATCAAAGTTCTAAATGCGCCGAGAATCCGAAGTGTGACTGTGGTGACGGCAACATCTGGTCAAGCAGGACAGGAAAATGTATCCCAATAAGTGACTGCCCACGTGAGTACACAGTAAATTCTTTTTCTCAAACATGCTTGGAAATGCGAGCATTATTTTGACAACCATGTTCGTGATAAAATCGAAATTGCTGTACTGGCCATTTATTTGGCGACAAAAGTTGTATGAAAATCCATATCTGTCGTGTTTTGCGGCCAAATATATTAGTACCTACATTGTTCACCGAGAGGAGAAAGTGACCGATTACCAACGAGGGTGTAGTTTAAAGCCCGAGGCGCAGTCAAAGTGTACATCCAAGGGTGCATCCATACATCCAAGTTGGGAAAAGCACTTTATTTCGAGGGATACATAGTGCTTTATACTATACCTGCGAGGAAATAAAAGACAAATTATTTTATTGTATATTAAAGCTGTTACAGTTACTAAAATTATGCATGGGAGCATTCTTGATAATACGGGGAAAGGTTATCAATGACTGCTTAGGTGCTACTCTTTTAATCCTGGCGGTGTCAATAAATTTCCAATTTCAGTAATATATGCCGTCTCGAGTAGATAGGAAAACAAATTAAAAACTCAGTTAAAATAAATAAATAATCAGCGCGCCTTTTACTTATTCTTCTTTTTTCAAAATTAATTCAAAATGCTAAAACTATAATATAAAAAAAAATATTGCAGTCTGCAAAATCATACTGACCACTTTTCGGAACATAATAAAAAAAAATAGCACGCTTAGAATGAATTTCAAAATCTTAACAGAGATACGCGACTCAGTCTCAGATTTAATACTTTTGTTTTAGCAGGATTATATTTTTTATCTGATAGTTGTCACAAAAGGCACGCCTCAGTTACATTGTTAGAAGTGACGACGGCCTGCGCGTGACCTTAACCTCGTAATCTAACTGTGGACTTGTTTGTTTTGTTGCTAGGTTGCTTTGTACTATGACGTCACACCACATCTTGCAAAATAGCGAGCGTTTATAATTCCCGTGCAAAGTGGTACTATTTTTATCATTAATTTTAGACACATTACACGAATTTTACGAAGTTGAAAACGTTTATACTATATTAAGGGAATGTAAACTATGATAAAAAATAAAAATAAAATATTCATGCATGTTCCCTATTGTGTAATTACTAAACATATCATCTTTTGTTCAGAGGATTGCGGTTGTAACGGTGACCAGAACGCAGTGATCAAATATAAGCCGCGAGCTTGCCAGTCGACTTGCAGCAAACCTAACCCTGGTTTATGTGAGAAACTAGGCCCGATCGTCGCATGCGTGTGCAAACCTGGATTTATCTTGTCGAAGAAGGGCAAATGTATAAAACCCGAAAGCTGTCCAGGTACTGTTTTGCTTTAGTTATTTTAAATGCCTTTTAATGTCAGTTGGAAACCATCACTACGGACAGAAAAGGGCATAGATGAAGCACAATATTTAAAAAAAAAACAAAATTTCTTTAGTCAAGTTTGAAGCTTAACACTTTCGAAGCCTTTGAATCGGCCATTTTTCCCCTACTACCCGTTGTAGCAAAACAGACGAAAAGAACTTCACCGCGGCAAATTTTGTTACAATCTTTACAAAACATTATATATTACAGTGTTAATCACAAAATTACATCATCTTTATTATAATTATAGAAACAGCCTGTTGGAACAGTTTAAGCCCAAGTATTTTTGTCTGAAATGCCTTATCGATGTAACTTTATTTTTTATACTGGTAATCTTCCATGCTGTGGACTGAACCTACATCTCACCCTATTATTATTTTAGGTGGCAATCCTTGCCGTGGAAATCAAACATTCGTGAATTGTGCATTTGATTGCGGGCCTAGCGATTTTTGCCCACAAGACGACTCTCGTGAAATAGCAGTATGCGACGCTCCGATAGACTGCCCTCCAGGATGTGCCTGCAAATATGGCTACATAAGGAAAAGCCCTGAAAACAGGAAATGTATAAAACCGCAAGAGTGCCGTAAGTTCATAAAAATCTATTACCAGCTAATATTTTTAGTATGATAAATAGACTCGGAACTCCTCATGTGTGAATCGACTTTATATTTAATCGACTCGCACTTAATTATTTTATTTTGTATAAAATATCAAAAGCTTTTGTTTAAAAAACTAGTGTGCTTATGACCTTTTAGCTCCATCTGTTTATATATATGTATACATATATACATGTATGTACATACGCATATTTCATTTACTAGCTGTTAGAGAATGAGAGAAAAAAACGTGCACGCGCACTGCTTTCACTTCCTTATTTCCCCCACTGAACTCCCGTTCGCCTCGCCCAAACACACTTTTCGTAACGCGTAACTCATTCGCTAGCTTACCCCCCAAGTCAAGCGTGCGTAAAGAAGTTTCACTTTAAAAAATCACAATGATTAACTTTTTTTCATACATTCTGATTTTATTCATTTCAGCTCCAGTCAAGTGTACAAGGTGTAACGAAATATGGGATCCTTGTCCTAGCCCATGCTTCTCTGACTCCTGCGAAGACGTGAAGAACCCAAATCCTGTATGTGAGACCTTAGTTGAACCAGTATGTAGACCTCAATGCGTCTGCGCGCCCGGATACGGAAGGGACGACAATGGCAAATGCATACCTATTTGGGACTGTCGTGAGTAAACTATAAATATGCTCGATTCATAAACTCAAAGAAAAATTTTACTTGAAAATTTTTAACTCGGTTAAGTCTTCAGGCAGGACTCGAACCTGAGTCTTCCACAGTCCAGTTGGATACATTCTTCACAGTTGCCTTAACAAAACCTGGACGAGTTGATTTTTTCTAGTACATTTTTTTCTTTAGATTTGCCTTACAATTTATAGTATCGAAAGTAACAAATCATCAAGGTATTCCCATTGCTGGAGCACAGGCCTTCGCTACGGATGAAATAGGAATATTCGGCCTAAGTACTGACGATGCAGATGATACCTACGGCTTAACGTACCTTGCGATGTAAGGAGGAACTCGAGATGTTTCATTTTGGTCACCCATCCGATGGTCGGCCATTGCAAAAGCTGCTTTACTTCCACTATCGCAGACTGATCTCGCTAACCACTTGAACTAACAAACTCCTGCCTGCCTGCCTGAACTGATGCCTGTAAGCTATATAAGTTACTTTTTTCATAAACTACCTTTACGTAACCCAACGTCCTCGTATTTTGAAATAATGCTATTAAAAATTAATAGAAAGGAAATAAAATCTCTTACCAAAATAATAATATATATCAAAAAGTTTAAGTCAAGCTCTTATCAATTTAAGCATGAAATGTTAATACTTCGTTTTACTACATTAAATTGCTTTTATGTATTCAGGTGCCCAATTAATTTTGGTGGTGTTATTGATTGTGGTAATGGCAATATATATGTATTTTTTTCCTTTTCTAATCTCCAGTGTAAAACATTAAAACTAATAAGCTAAATCTTAATGTTATTAATAAGTACTGGGTGCTCGCAACTTCGTCTTCGTGGTTTGATTGATTTCCATTACAAACTTATACCCCCCATTTTACCTCTTCAAAATTCTGGGATAAAGACTATGTTCCTTTTCGTTGTTTTAAGCGTGAAGAGGTAACAGACAGACAGACACATTTTCTCATTTATAGTATTGGTATGGATAAAGAATTTCATCATTTTCTGCCTTATACGAGTAATATCCCCCTTGCAGGGTCACGGGCCTTATGGATGGAATTGGGAGATTGGGTCATGACCCACCTTGCGGACCAACTGCGGTTTGGTGGTTGCTAACGACTACAGATGCAGCCGGTACCAACAGCTGAATGTGCCTTCCGAAACAAGGAAGAGCGATAATTATCTGGAGAGATAACTTTTGGTCACCCAACCAATGACTGGACAATGCGAAAGTAATTTGACTTCACGATCGCCGATCGAACTAGCGCGTTCGATCTGGAATCGTGGAAATCACTAACTTAGAAATACTCAGATCAAATCACCTACTCAGGCGCAAAACTTTCAAATCTATTTATTTTTTCTTACAGCTTGGTTGCAATGATTGCTGAAGATTTGAGTTAAAAAAATGAAAAGAAAATTAAATCAATTACATGTAATTTACCAGAAGCTGGTAAGTACTAACCGGTGCGTGAAGCAGACTTCCATTACCAAACTCAATCATTGTAATTTATGAAATTAAATTTTCATAAAATTCTGATAATAATATTAGTAGAGTGATGTACTTTCATTGTAAATACGTTGTGTTTTCGACATACAAGAGGTACCCCATTTAATCAACTGTCCCATTGTTTTCTACATCCTGTCTGTATTTATAATTATGAGTAGGTACTATCACTTTACACATTCAAACATGGCAAACAACTGCCTATCTCTCGCAAAATAGAATTTCATTTTAGCGATACATTTTTATTATACGACTGCTATACCTACGCACTGTGTTGGAAAATCTTGATTTTATTTGATTTATTTATATAAAATTCTTCTTGTATAACTTTGGTACCCATTTCAATTTATAATAAAGATCATGTTTTGATTATTATAATAGCCTTTTTATTACACCTCTCGATTTAGGCCGTTTGTTTGTTTGTTTTGGGTAGTCATGCTCTCTTAAAAGTCTCTTCGATGGTGTCATGTGAGGCGGATCGTTACGTTCCCTAAAATATGGTTGAGCAAAGCGATGGCTGTTCTTGCTCGTGAACGGGTGCTGCCAGCGGAGATGAGTCTGCCCTAACTACTTTGATATTTAAGATGTAAATATCTAGTTACACCTAATTTAAAAAAAAAAACTATATGTATTTATACTGTGTGACACAGCAACCAAAATGCAGGTAAACAATTAATATGTAATTTCACATTATGTAGTGAAAGGTAACTTCATGAATCATCCCTGAAGTCATTTTACAACTTCACGACTCTGTAAAAAATAATAAAACAGAGAGAGAAAAAAACAGCCCTTGCTGAGTTTCTTGCCGCTTCTTCTCAGTACAAGGTCTCCCGCCGTAGATTTACGAACCGATGGCTTAGCTTCTAGAGATTCATGAGTGCTTGCTTGTAACAGCCTAAACTGAATAAATGATTATGATTATGTCCACCGCCCCCGTTAGTGGACTGTCACCGAGAACTAGGTGACTGCGCCAAAGTAGCAATACATACTTTTCTATAACCGCTTGTCCACCGCAAGCTCGCCACGTCATCTTAATCCCACGCAGAAATATTCTCGTTTTCGTTGACGTCCCAGTGACGGCCGCGGTGGACAAACGGCCTAACACAATAAATAATAAATTTCATCAACTGCAGGATCAACAGATACTATGTTCTTTTTGTTTGCACAGTTTAACATAAGAAGGAGATAGAAAGCCTCTCTTGGGTTTGTTTCGCCGGTTCTTCTCAGAAAGGTCTCCCAATTTTGGAACCGGTGGTAGTTTACGGTAGTTAAGGTCAAATAAAGAAACTCAAAATTACAAAAAAAAAAGTACTTTATTAACTAAATTAACTAATAAATTCATACATAGACAATAAAATTTTAAAAATCTAACAATGAAATAACCGAACGCTCAATAAAAGTCTTTCGAAGGTAGCTCGACAAAATTAAATTAAAAAAAAAGATAAATATTATTCTGACGAAGCAGACCTGAAAAGGCTGCGAAACGTCAATAAATAAATAGTTTCGTGCATGAACCCGTTAAAACTAGTTTTATTTAGATTTCATAAATTTTTGTGCTGAAGGGTCAAGTGGGGGTCGGAGTAACAAGAGGCAAACAGACAATCTCTGCCCTTTTCTTATTTGTCTATGATATGTCTTGACGTGTTTTATTACTTTTATATCCCCTGGTCTATGTAACACACCATTTTGTTTTTCACTTTCGGAAAATAAAAAAATCGGCCTATTTTCCTCTTATTATTTTAGTTCTCTTGTACATCCAGGCTTCATTTATGTCTTAAATCAATCCTGAATAGTTTCTCTACAAAATTATCTGTATATTAGATAAGTAAATTAAAAGCCATTACTATGCCAAACGCAAAATATGAAAAATTAAAACAATTTTCTCAAATCATGGCAGAAATCGGCCATCTCCACAAACAGTGATTTTTGACGTTGACAAAAATCTGCCATTTACACAGACCATATAAAGGATAAAAGGTATATCTCTTTTGTTATTTGTCTATGATCTATCTTGACGTGTTTTATTACTTTTATATGCTGCCATCTCAGACATCAAATAACCGGGTATAATACAGAGATAATCCTTATGTTACATTATACCCCTTGTTACAAGCGGGCGGTAGCGGCCCCCCACTTGACCCTACTTAGTTTGACTCGCTAAGTTCATTGTCAGCCTATGAATGACCCCACTACTGGGGCATGGGTCTTCCCTATGAATGGAATAATAAGGAAGGATGATGACTAACTTCGCGAGGCCAATGCGGATAGCTGGGTACTTCGACGAGCATATTCAGCCAGGACTCCAGGAGAGAAGACGCGGTGAAGTCCCTTAGAGGGATCTAGCGGTTCCACACTTAACAGTGTAGAGAGGGGCCAGCGGGAGGCCGAAATGTCATTGTCAAATGTGTTTAGTTCTCGTTACGTCCTTTGTGGCGCTGGTGTTCAAGTTTTCATACAAAATTTGACAATGACATTTCGGACTCGCATCCATAGCAAAATTATCATCATCAGCCTTTTGATGTCCCCAACACGCAGGCCTATTGCTTATTGGTGGGTGCTAACGACTGCAGATGCAACCGGGACCAACTGCTTAACTTTTGTGATAGTATGATGGGTGACCAAAAAATAGTATTTTTGGTCACCCACCGAATTACCGACCACTGTGAAAGTTGCTTAACTTCGACGATCGCAGCTGAACACGCTAAGCACTTGCGCCATCGAGCTCCTCTACGAACAAAATATGTCAATGCATAACAAAATAAATTTAAATTGCATTTGCCTGCGTCAAGTCACTTAGGTATCAGCCTGATGCACAGAGTTACATTTTCTCTTGATATAAAAGTTAGAAATGATGTGAAGAATTAAAAAAAACAATGGTTGCCAGCTCTCAATCAGTCGCATCTTTAGGGTTGCCAGGTATTTGACAGCTGGTAATCAATCAGGTTTATCTGGTGACAAGCTTTTATCTATACTTATAATAAATCTGTAGAGAGGTCAATTCTGTACATGAAATATATTTTCAAAATAACTATCAGGGGGTGATTAGTGATCGATACTGATGCCAAAAATGCAATCAGTAAATTTTTTGTCTGTCTGTCTGTGTGTATGTTCCTTATAGAAACAAAAACTACTCGACGGATTTTAACGAAACTTGGTACAATTATTCTTCATACTCCTGGGCAGGTTATAGTATACTTTTCATCACGCTACAATCAATAGGAGCAGAGTAGTGAAGGGAAATGTTGGGAAAACGGGAGAAGTTACTCCATTTTTTCAGCTTCCGTCGCGTGTGCAGCCTTAATGGTTAAAGTTACATAGAAATTATGTATGACGGAAATATTCTACATAAAATTGTCTAAAAAATATCCCGCAACAGCATATGTCTATCTTTTATGGTTGACTCACAATAACACGTGTAACTCCTGATAGCTTAGCAGTTCGGAGCATTCCGATTATATAACGTAAATATGAGAATTTTAGTTTGATTATAAATACAGGTAATAAAAATGACCGTTTTTATCTATATATGTATATAAAAATCAAAGGGGACTGACTGAAAAGTGATCTATCAACGCACAGCCCAAACCACTGGACGGATCGGGCTGAAATTTGGCATGCAGGTAGATGTTATGACGTAGGCATCCTCTAAGAAAGGATTTTGATCAATTCTACCCCCAAGGGGATAAAATAGGAAATGAAAGTTTGTATGAAACTGTCAATTTTAAACCAATCGGGCTGAGACTTTGCATGCAGGTATAAGAAGAATCATAGATGAATGTCATTGTGTTTAATACAAGCCTGAGAAAAAAACCTATACACTTCAGCTCTACACCGAAGCGAAGCGAGGGCGGGCCGCTAGTATTAAATAAACTAGCGGCCGCCTGCGACTTCGTACACGTAGAGTTAGTATGAAATAAAGGTTCACTGCTCGTTCCCCGTAGGTGATAGGGTGATAATATGTAGCCTTTAATGTTGACCCGACTTCCTAATAATATTCGTGTCAAACTTGAAGTAAATCCATGCAGTACTTTTTGAGTATATCCCGGACATACATAAAGACAAACAGACAAAAATTCTAAAAACTATATTTTTGGCTTCGGTATCGATTGTAGATCACACCCCAAGTATTATTTTAAAAAATATTCTATGTACAGTTTTGACTTTCCTACCATTTTATTATATGTATAGATTGTGCAATGACGTTATAAGTTCATAGTAAAAGAAAAGTTCATTATTTCCCTTCAAATGGCGTATTTTTTTTTAATACAAAAATTGTTAGATTCCTGAGGGATTCTCAAAGAGATAAGTTTAACGAGGATAAAGTCGCGGGCGGCCGCTAGACTTCATAACAAATAGTTACACTAGAAAAAAGACTATATTTTTGAAGTGATAACTTCTTATGGGAGGATATGCCAACGTTTATTTCGCTATGTAACACGTTAGGGCGCCAGTCTGTCTGGCTTCCCTTCCTCTCACTCATACGGCAGCGGTAGGCAGGCTCCTCCTCTCTCACTCTAACCCGCTGCGCCGCTTAGATTAATTGAAGTTATCACTTCTGTCGTCTGGCTTCCCTTCCTCTCACGCATATGGCAGCGGTAGGCAGGCTCCTGCTCTCTCACTCTAACCCGCTGCGCCGCTTAGATTAATTGAAGTTATCACTTCTGTCGTCTGGCTTCCCTTCCTCTCACGCATACGGCAGCGGTAGGCAGGCTCCTGCTCTCTCACTCTAACCCGCTGCGCCGCTTAGATTAATTGAAGTTATCACTTCTGTCGTCTGGCTTCCCTTCCTCTCACGCATACGGCAGCGGTAGGCAGGCTCCTGCTCTCTCACTCTAACCCGCTGCGCCGCTTAGATTAATTGAAGTTATCACTTATGTCGTCTGGCTTCCCTTCCTCTCACGCATACGGCAGCGGTAGGCAGGCTCCTCCTCTCTCACACTAACCCGCAGCCCCGCTTAGATTAGTTGAAGTTATCACTTCTGTCGTACGTCCTGAGACGCATTCGCGTTTTTTTATTATAAATATTGAGGATCGCCTTGTCAAATGGTATGTTAATATGAACACCGGTTTCAAGGTATGGCATACTCAAAGGTTCAAATCTCGGTAGAGCCAAATATTTGTATGATGAATATAAACATTCAATTTTGTTCACGAGTCTGACTATTCATATACATATTTCTGTAAAAATTAACTTACTTATTCTATAGCCATTAACGGAGTAAGGGTTACTCCGTGATCAAGAAAGTTAACTAAGGGACCATGAAAGTTTAAAACAATATAACTTACTTATTATCTACGTATCATTATATGTATTTCTATTATACTAGTATCTCAAAACAGAAGCGTCACAGCGCATACTTTCGGGCTAATATGTCAATTGGTGTAAATAAATGAGTTCCAAATAATTATTTTTAACTAAATTAAGACTATCTTACAGGAAACCACTTTGTTGTTTACGAATTATACAGCTAACCCTACCAATCCAAAATTTCGAATATATTTATATGACCGTGATAATATGCCTATTGTTTATAGTATACCTAACTGTTTATTTGTATATTTAAGCAAGTTTCCCTTGTTTTAGAATAATTAATCGGTTTGACATATTTTATTTATAAATTAGTTTTTACAGCACATTTGCCTGAAACAAAAGAAAAAAGATATATTATATATAATACAATATTTTTTACCATGCAATATCTATTGTATCTACCTAGTTATATTTATTTAATAGTAATAAATTATGTATATAAACACACTTGTTACACCTATCATTTTAATTAATGGTAGGTATGAATAGTTCTGCATCTGCATGGAAATTATAACATAGACAATTTTAATGTATAAAGCAATGTTTTTTAGATTTTTAAATAATTTTGGAAGGATAAATATTATATGTTTAGCTACAGCTTGTCGGTACTTGCTTGGTAATGATATAAAGAAAAAAATACCAAATAACATCTCCCACAACACATTTCAATCAAATTGGGTGTTATGGGGGCATAGTCCTAAGTCGAAATTTTCGCAGATTTTATATGAAACTTCGACTTTTCTAAGTATGTATGTATGTCTCCAACTGTATATACATATATCCAAAATAAATACCAAATCACAGCGGAATATATAATTTATCCATTTCAAACCCACAAGTATGTACATTGAATATCATGAATAACAAGTAAAAGTAAAGTTATATTTTTTTAACAGAACCATACTTTTGCTTTGTACTAAGTATAACAGCTTAACAGATGTGCTGAATATATTTACACAGAATTGAATACTTATAGTGTACTTGGCGTCGAGCGATTTCATTCGATATCAAGATGTGGAAATTAGCGTGTTTTATCGCCATATTGACTGTAGTTGATGCTACCAGTCCACCACCAATTGATTGTCCAGGTACCTATTTATATTTCTAATTTATAATTAAAGATACTATTGTCTATCGTGGGTTACTGATTTTAAACATCAATTTTGTTTTTAGAACCTTGCCCTGATAAATGCAAAGCGACTTGTGCCAATCCAAATCAAAGTTCTAAATGCGCCGAGAATCCGAAGTGTGACTGTGGTGACGGCAACATCTGGTCAAGCAGGACAGGAAAATGTATCCCAATAAGTGACTGCCCACGTGAGTACACAGTAAATTCTTTTACTCAAACATGCTTGGCAATGCGAGCATTATTTTGACAACCTTGTTCGTGATAAATCGAAATTGCTGTACTGGCCATCTATTTGTCGACAAAAGTTGTATGAAAATCCATATCTGTCGTGTTTTGCGGCCAAATATATTAGTACCTACATTGTTCACCGAGAGGAGAAAGTGACCGATTACCAACGAGGGTGTAGTTTAAAGCCCGAGGCGCAGTGAAAGTGTACATCCAAGGGTGCATCCATACATCCAAGTTGGGAAAAGCACTTTATTTCGAGGGATACATAGTGCTTTATACTATACCTGCGAGGAAATAAAAGACAAATTATTTAATTGTATATTAAAGCTGTTACAGTTACTAAAATTTTTCATGGGAGCATTCTTGATAATACGGGGAAAGGTTATCAATGACTGCTGTGCTGCTCTTTTAATCCTGGTGGTGTCAATAAATCTTCAATTTCAGTAATATATGCCGTCTCGAGTAGATAAAAAAACAAATCAAAAACTCAGTTAAAATAAATAATAATCAGCGCGCTTTTTACTTATTGTTCTTTTTTCAAAATTAATTCAAAATGCTAAAACTATAATATAAAAAAAAAACGTGTGGCACTCGGGGACTCTCGCATAGCATTTTTTATCAACTTATGCAATTTTAATTATTTATTTATCTTATTTATGCATTTTCCATTGTGATTTGGTATTTTATGGGGCAACCACAGTTTACCATCTTTAGTCCAAAAATTTAAATTATAAAGTCTAAATAAAGGGGAGACAAATAAAAATAAGAACAGGCGCTGGGGTCTAAAACAAATATATAAAAAAAGGAAAAAATAATTAAAAATACGAGTGCGGGATTTGAACCTACGACCGCGGTGATGCGTCGAACATTGGTCCCGTGGCAAAAATCTATTGGTGTATGTACTCTCGTACGGTTTTTTCGTTACGGGATTCTTGATTCGGTCGCCGCGCTCAAAGCCCGCGATAAAAGCTATACAATAGCTTAAAAATTATTGCAGTCTGCAAAATCATACTGACCACTTTTCGGAACATAATATAAAATAAATAAAAAAACAGCACGCTTAAAATGAATTTCAAAATCTTAACAAGAATACGCGAATCAGTCTCAGATTTAATACTTTTATTTAAGCAGGATTATATTTTTTATCTGATAGTTGTTACAAAAGGCACGCCTCAGTTACATTGTTAGAAGTGACGACGGCCTGCGCGTGACCTTAACCTCGTAATATAACTGTGGACTTGTTTGTTTTGTTGCTAGGTTGCTTTGTACTATGACGTCACACCACATCTTGCAAAATAGCGCGCGTTTATAATGCCCCTGCAAAGTGTTACTATTTTTATCATAATTTTAGACACATTACACAAATTTTACGAAGTTGAAAATGTTTATACTTTATTAAGGGAATGTAAACTATGATTAAAAATAAATACAAAATAATCATGCATGTTCCCTATTGTGTAATTACTAACCATATCATCTTTTGTTCAGAGGATTGCGGTTGTAACGGTGACCAGAACGCAGTGATCAAATATAAGCCGCGAGCTTGCCAATCGACTTGCAGCAAACCTAACCCTGGTTTGTGTGAGAAACTAGGCCCGATCGTCGCATGCGTGTGCAAACCTGGATTCATCTTGTCGAAGAAGGGCAAATGTATAAAACCCGATAGCTGTCCAGGTACTGTTTTGCTTAAGTTATTTTAACAGCCTTTTAATGTCAGTTGAAAACCATCACTACGGACAAAAAACGGCACAGTTAAAGCTCAATATTTAAAAAAAGAAACAAAATTTTTTTAGTCTAGTTTGAAGCTTAACACTTTCGAAGCCTTTGAATCGGCCATTTTTTCCCTACTACCCTTTGTAGCAAAACAGGCGAAAAGAACTTCACTGCGGAAAAATTTGTTACAATCTTTACAAAACATTATATATTACAGTGTTAATCACAAAATTACGTCATCTTTATTATAATTATAGAAACAGCCTGTTGGAACAGTTTAAGCCCAAGTATTTTTGTCTGAAATGCCTTATTACTGGTAATCTTCCTTGCTGAGGACTGAACTTACATCTCACCCTATTATTATTTTAGGGGGCAATCCTTGCTGTGGAAATCAAACATTCGTGAATTGCGCATTTGATTGCGGGCCTAGCGATTTTTGCCCTAAAGACGACTCTCGTGAAATAGCAGTATGCGACGCTCCGATGGACTGCCCTCCAGGATGTGCCTGCAAATATGGCTACATAAGGATAAGCCCTGAAAACAGGAAATGTATAAAACCGCAAGAGTGCCGTAAGTTCATAAAAATCTATTACCAGCTAATATTTTTAGTATGATAAGTAGACACGGAACTCCTCATGTGCGAATCGACTTTATATTGAATCGACTCGCACTTGATTATTTTATTTTGTATAAAATATCAAAAGCTTTTGTTTAAAAAACTAGTTTGCTTTTGACCTTTTAGCTCCATCTGTATATATATTATATATATATATATATATATACATGTATGTACATACACATTTCATTTACTAGCTATTAGAGAAGAGAGAGAAAAATGTGCACGTACACTGCTTTCACTTGCTTATTTCCCCCACTCAACTCCCACACACTTTTCGTAACGCGTAACTCATTCGCCAGCTTTCCCCCCAAGTCAAGAGTGCGTAAAGAAGTTTCACTTCATACATCACAATGTTTTTTTTTTCATTTATCCTGATTTTATCTATTTCAGCTCCAGTCAAGTGTACAAGGTGTAACGAAATATGGGATCCTTGTCCTAGCCCATGCTTCTCTGACTCCTGCGAAGACGTGAAGAATCCAAATCCTGTATGTCAGACCTTAGTTGAACCAGTATGTAGACCTCAATGCGTCTGCGCGCCCGGATACGGAAGGGACGACAATGGCAAATGCATACCTATTTGTGACTGTCGTGAGTAAACTATAAATATGCTCGATTCATAAACTTAAAGAAAAATTTTACTTGAAAATTTTTAACTCGGTTAAGGCTTCGGGCAGGACTCGAACCTGCGTCTTCCACAGTCCAGTTGGATACACTCTTCAGAGATGCCGTAACAAAACCTGGACGAGTTGAATTTTTCTAGTAAATTTTTTTCTTTAGATTTGCCTTACAATTTATAGTATCGAATGTAACAAATCATCATCGTGATCAACCTTTTAATATTCCCACTGCTGGGGCACAGGCCTTCGCTACGGATGAAATAGGAATATTCGGCCTAAGTACTAACAAACTGACGATGCAGACGATACCTACGGCTTAACGTACCTTGCCATCCAATGAGGAACTCGAGATGTTTAATTTTGGTCACCCATCCGATGGTCGGCCATTGCAAAAGCTGCTTTACTTCCACTATCGCAGACTGATCTCACTAACTACTTGAACTAACGAGCTTCTCAATACCTGTAAGCTATATAAGTTAGGTTTTTCACTAACTACCTCAACGTGACCTAACGTCCTCGTATTTTGAAATAATGCTATTAAAAATTAATAGAAAGTAAATAAAATCTCTTACCAAATTAATAATATATATCAAAAAGTTTAAGTCAAGCTCTTGTCAATTTAAACGTGAAAACTTTAATACTTCGTTTTACTTCATTAAATTGCTTTTATGTATTCAGGTGCTTAGTTTATTTTGGTGGTGTTATTGATTGTATTAATGGCAATATATATATATATATATGTATTTTTTTCCTTTTCATATCTTCAGTGTAAAACATTAAAACTAATAAGCTTAATCTTAATATTATTAATAAGTACTGGGAGCTCGCAACTTCGTCTGCGTGGTTTGATTGATTTCCATTACAAACTTATACCCCCCATTTCACCTCTTCAAAGGATAAATTCTGGGTTAAAGACTATGTCCTTTTCCGGGACTTTGGTTCATTGTTTTAAGTGTGAAGAAGTAACAGACAGACAGACACATTTTCGCATTTATAGTATTGGTATGGATAAAGAATTTCATCATTCTAAAGAAAATATAACTAGAAAAAATTCCACGCGGACCAGGCAGCAGACGGGACTCGAACCCGCACCCTTCGCAATCCGGGCGAATGCACTGACCAATTATGCTACCGCGGCCCTCACGGACCGCGTCGAAATTCCTTCTAGCTATTCTTAAGCTGCAAGGCAGCGCCATCTCTTCGCATTATAGGTAAACCCACAATGTCAAATGAATACTTTTACAAGTATTAAACATTTGAAAGAAGAAATAGCAATTATAGTTATAATTTTTATTATTTTTAAAGCATGTAACTGCTTGATGTCTAAATCTAAAGAAAATATAACTAGAAAAAATTCCACGCGGACCAGGCAGCAGACGGGACTCGAACCCGCACCCTTCGCAATCCGGGCGAATGCACTGACCAATTATGCTACCGCGGCCCTCACGGACCGCGTCGAAATTCCTTCTAGCTATTCTTAAGCTGCAAGGCAGCGCCATCTCTTCGCATTATAGGTAAACCCACAATGTCAAATGAATACTTTTACAACTATAATTGCTATTTCTTCTTTCAAATGTTTAATACTTGTAAAAGTATTCATTTGACATTGTGGGTTTACCTATAATGCGAAGAGATGGCGCTGCCTTGCAGCTTAAGAATAGCTAGAAGGAATTTCGACGCGGTCCGTGAGGGCCGCGGTAGCATAATTGGTCAGTGCATTCGCCCGGATTGCGAAGGGTGCGGGTTCGAGTCCCGTCTGCAGCCTGGTCCGCGTGGAATTTTTTCTAGTTATATTTTCTTTAGATTTAGACATCAAGCAGTTACATGCTTTAAAAATAATAAAAATTATAACTATAATTGCTATTTCTTCTTTCAAATGTTTAATACTTGTAAAAGTATTCATTTGACATTGTGGGTTTACCTATAATGCGAAGAGATGGCGCTGCCTTGCAGCTTAAGAATAGCTAGAAGGAATTTCGACGCGGTCCGTGAGGGCCGCGGTAGCATAATTGGTCAGTGCATTCGCCCGGATTGCGAAGGGTGCGGGTTCGAGTCCCGTCTGCTGCCTGGTCCGCGTGGAATTTTTTCTAGTTATATTTTCTTTAGATTTAGACATCAAGCAGTTACATGCTTTAAAAATAATAAAAATTATAACTATAATTGCTATTTCTTCTTTCAAATGTTTAATACTTGTAAAAGTATTCATTTGACATTGTGGGTTTACCTATAATGCGAAGAGATGGCGCTGCCTTGCAGCTTAAGAATAGCTAGAAGGAATTTCGACGCGGTCCGTGAGGGCCGCGGTAGCATAATTGGTCAGTGCATTCGCCCGGATTGCGAAGGGTGCGGGTTCGAGTCCCGTCTGCTGCCTGGTCCGCGTGGAATTTTTTCTAGTTATATTTTCTTTAGATTTAGACATCAAGCAGTTACATGCTTTAAAAATAATAAAAATTATAACTATAATTGCTATTTCTTCTTTCAAATGTTTAATACTTGTAAAAGTATTCATTTGACATTGTGGGTTTACCTATAATGCGAAGAGATGGCGCTGCCTTGCAGCTTAAGAATAGCTAGAAGGAATTTCGACGCGGTCCGTGAGGGCCGCGGTAGCATAATTGGTCAGTGCATTCGCCCGGATTGCGAAGGGTGCGGGTTCGAGTCCCGTCTGCTGCCTGGTCCGCGTGGAATTTTTTCTAGTTATATTTTCTTTAGATTTAGACATCAAGCAGTTACATGCTTTAAAAATAATAAAAATTATAATTTCATCATTTTCAGCCTTATAATGTCCCCATTGCAGGGGCACAGGCCTCCATAGGTAATGGAGGGAATAGGGAGATTGGGTCATGACCCACTTTGCGGGCCAAGTGCGGTTTGGTGGTTGCTAACGACTGCAGATGCAGCCGGTACCAACAGCTAAATGTGCCTTCCGAAGCACAGAAGAGTGATAATTATCTCGAGAAAAAACTTTTGGTCACCCAACCAATGACTGGTCATTGCGAAAGTTGCTTGACTTCCACGATCGCCGATCGAACTAGCGCGTTCGATCTGGGATCGTGGATTATTATTAAGTTAGTGATAACTTAGAAATATTCAGATCAAATCACCTACTCAGGCGCAAAACTTTCAAATCTATTTATTTTTTCTTACAGCTTGCTTGCAATGATTGCTGAAGATTTGAGTTAATAAAATGAAAAGAAAATTAAATCATTATTACTTTTAATTTACCAAAAGCTGGTAGGTACTTATCGGTGCGTGAACAGACTTACATTACCAAAGTCGTTCATTGTAATTTATGAAATTCGTTTTAATTTAATTTTCGTAAAATTCCGTTAATAATATGGGTAGAGTGATGTACTTTCATTGTAAATACGTTGTGTTTTCGACATACAAGAGGTACCCCATTTAATCAGCTGTCCCATTGTTTTCTACATCCTGTCTGTATTTATAATTATGAGTAGGTACTATCACTTTACACATTCATACATGGCAAACAACTGCCGATCTCTCGCAAAATAGACTGTTATTTTAGCGATACATTTTTATTATACGACTGTTATACCTACGCACTGTGTTGGAAAATCTTGAATTTTATTTTTTTATTTGTTTGTATAAAATTCTTCTTGTATAATTTTGGTACCCATTTCAATTTATAATAAAGAGCATGTTTTGATTATTATAATAGCCTTTTTATTACACCTCTCGACTTAGGCCGTTTGTTTGTTTGTTTTGGGTAGTCATGCTCTCTTAAAAGTCTCTTCGATGGTGTCATGTGAGGCGGATCGTTACTTTCCCTAAAATATGGTTGAGCAAAGCGATGGCTGTTCTTGCTCGTGAACGGATGCTGCCAGCGGAGATGAGTCTGCCCTAACTACTTCGATATTTAAGATGTAAATGTCTAGTTACACCTAATTAAAATAACACTATAATGTATTTATACTGTATGACACAGCAACCAAAATGCAGGTGAACAATTAATATTTAATTTCACATTATGTAGTGAAAGGTAACTTCATGAATCATCCCTGAAGTCATTTTACAACTTCACGACTCTGTAAAAAATAATAAAACAGAGAGCGAGAAAAACAGCCCTTGCTGAGTTTCTTGCTGCTTCTTCTCAGTACAAGGTCTCCCGCCGTAGATTTACGAACCGATGGCTTAGCTTCTAGACATTCATGAGTGCTTGCTTGTAATAGCCTAAACTAAATAAATGATTATGATTATGTCCACCGCCCCCCTTAGTGGACTGTCACCGAGAACTAGGTGACTGCGCCAAAGTAGCAATACATACTTTACTATAACCGCTTGTCCACCGCAAGCTCGTCACGTCATCTTAATCCCACGCAGAAATATTGTCGTTCTCGTTGACGTCCCAGTGACGGCCGCGGTGGACAAACGGCCTAACACAATAAATAATAAATTTCATCAACTGCAGGATCAACAGATACTATTAGTTCTTTTTGTTTGCACAGTTTAACATAAGAAGGAGATAGAAAGCCTCTCTTGGTTTTGTTTCGCCGGTTCTTCTCAGAAAGGTCTCCCAATTTTGGAACCGGTGGTAGTTTACGGTAGTTAAGGTCAAATAGAGAAACTCAAAATTACAAAAAAAAAGTACTTTATTAACTAAATTAACTAATAAATTCATACATAGACAATAAAATTTTAAAAATCTAACAATGAAATAACCGAACGCTCAATAAAAGTCTTTCGAAGGTAGCTCAACAAAATGAAATTAAAAAAAAGATAAATATTATTCTGACGAAGCAGACCTGAAAAGGCTGCGAAACGTCAATAAATAAATTAAGTTTCGTGCATGAACTCGTTAAAACTAGTTTTATTAAATTTCATAAATTTTTGTGCTGAAGGGTCAAGTGGGGGTCGGAGTAACAAGAGGCAAACAGACAATCTCTGCCCTTTTCTTATTTGTCTATGATATGCTTTGACGTGTTTTATTACTTTTATATCCCCTGGTCTATGTAACACACCATTTTGTTTTTCACGGTCGGAAAATAAAAAAATCGGCCTATTTTCCTCTTATTATTTTAGTTCTTTTGTACATCCAGGCTTCATTTATGTCTTAAATCAATCCTGAATAGTTTCTCTACAAAATTATCTGTATATTAGATAAGTAAATTAAAAGCCATTACTATGCCAAACGCAAAATATGAAAAATTAAAACAATTTTCTCAAATCACGGCAGAAATCGGCCATCTCCACAAACAGTGATTTTTGACGTTGACAAAAATCTGCCATTTACACAGACCATATAAAGGATAAAAGGTATATCTCTTTTGTTATTTGTCTATGATCTGTCTTGACGTGTTTTATTACTTTTATATGCTGCCATCTCAGACATCAAATAACCGGGTATAATACCACTTGACCCTACTTAGTTTGAATCGCTAAGTTCATTGTCAGCCTATGAATGACCCCACTACTGGGGCATGGGTCTTCCCTATGAATGGAATAATAAGGAAGGATTATGACTAACTACGCGAGGCCAATGCGGATAGCTGGGTACTTCGACTCGAGCATATTCAGCCAGGACTCCAGGAGAGAAGACGCGGTGAAGTCCCTTAAAGGGATCTAGCGGTTCCACACTTAACAGAGTAGAGAGTATTCGCAGGGTTTTTAGCGGATAGTATGCAGTAAGCGCTCGTAAGCCGCGTGGACTGCTTAACGTCTTCTCCGTTTCGTACCCGTGAAACTTGCGAGAATCAAGGTGTGAGGTCCGTACCCTTAACACGAATCAATATCAAATTCTAACAGTTCGTGAGGCCGAAATGTCATTGTCAAACGTGTTTAGTTCTCGTTACGTCCTTTATGGCGCTGGTGTTCAAGTTTTCATACAAAATTTGACAATGACATTTCGGACTCGCATCCATAGCAAAATTATCATCATCAGCCTTTTGATGTCCCCAACATGCAGGCCTATTGCTTATTGGTGGGTGCTAACGACTGCAGATGCAACCGGGACCAACTGCTTAACTTTTGTGATAGTATGATGGGTGACCAAAAAATAGTGTTTTTGGTCACCCGCCGAATTACCGACCACTGTGAAAGTTACTTAACTTCGAAGATCGCAGCTGAACACGCTAAGCACTTGCGCCATCGAGCTCCTCTACGAGCAAAATATGTCAATGCATAACAAAATAAATTTAAATTGCATTTGCCTGCGTCAAGCCACTTAGTTATCAGCCTGATGCACAGAGTTACATTTTCTCTTGATATAAAAGTTAGAAATGATGTGAAGAATTAAAAAAAACAATGGTTGCCAGCTCTCAATCAGTCGCATCTTTAGGGTTGCCAGGTATTTGACAGCTGGTATCAATCAGGTTTATCTGGTGACAAGCTTTTATATTAAATAAACTAGCGGCCGCCTGCGACTTCGTACGCGTAGAGTTAGTAAGAAATAAAGGTTCACTGCTCGTTCCCCGTAGGTGATAGGGTGATAATATGTAGCCTTTAATGTTAACTCGACTTCCTAGTAATATTCGTGTAAAAGTTGAAGTAAATCCATGCAGTACTTTTTGAGTATATCCCGGACATACATAAAGACAAACGGACAAAAATTCTAAAAACTATATTTTTGGCTTCGGTATCGATTGTAGATCACACCCCAAGTATTATTTTAAAAAATATTCTATGTACAGTTTTGACTTTCCTACCATTTTATTATATGTATAGATTGTGCAATGACGTTATAAGTTCATAGTAAAAGAAAAGTTCATTATTTCCCTTCAAATGGCGTTTTTTTTTAAATACATATGGATGCAATTTACATAAATGGATACCAAATATATGAATAAATAAATCATTTAGATTTAGTTATGAATCGAACTGCGGAATCGTGGACTAAGCAGTTTCTAACTATTCATATTACAGCCTTCATGGTCAAGAGGTTGCGCCTGCAATTGTAGGAATGTATATTTCCTAGATACTTACAATTTCCTTCAAAATTTGTACGATTTAGCTGTTAAAACTTTGGCTGGACTAAGACACATAATACTTTTTATCCATTACAAAAGAAGGTTAGGGTTCTGTAGGGTTCTCAAAAAACTAAATGTTAACTCGGGCTTGGTCGTGGGCGTAAGCTCATAAATTAATAATTTAAACAGTAATAAAAAGTTTACTAAGTCAATAGCCTTATCATATTAATGAATGACACTATGACACCATGTTGGTTCGATTCGCCTAGAGTGGGGGGACAGGACTTATATGAATAGATTTATAAGCAATAGTTACGACGTAAGCAGTCAGTCACGATACAACGCTAAAAAGTGCGGACGTCTGAGATCAAGCAGTAACTATTTTGTGTAAGTTTTACCTTACTATCTCTTGAATGTATTATTTCATAAATTCATTTTATAAACTTTGTATAAATTGGGAATTTAATAAAACAGTTTTGTGAGATATTATTATTGCCTATACTCGAAGAAACAAAAAAAAACTGAATCCTCATTTGTGTTTACCCGTGTCATAGTACATTCTTGTTATTCAATAAAAAACAGACAGACTTGCATACGTGTGTGCCGTGTAGGTAGCTATTCCATAATCATGGCGCTTGTAACAGTACCGAAATAAATAAATAAATCGGTTACTCCAAAAAAAGAAGGTACCTACATGGTTAATAACAAAAACCCATTGCCGTAATCTTGTCATAGTTTGTCCATAAACGTAGTGCCGAACAAAAAAGGGGATAATCACTTGTGGGGTATTTCCCCAAACATTGTGGTTTAAGGAAAATTATAGCACCGAGCCCTCGATAGCTGTTCTTGGTATATGATTCTGTAGATGTAATACATACTGTAGGCAAGGTACGAGTTGCAATTACTGGTATAGCGGTACTGTACCCGCGGTGGGTTATGTCTCATTTATGTTTGGGAAATGCATGACGCATCCCTCACCCACCGGGGGTAATGCGACGAGGATATCGGCGGACTCCTCCCTGATCATTTCATCGAGCTCGATGAAATAAGAAGGGCCCTACCCGGTGCCGTGGTAGAATTTCTAACGGGGACCCCGCGGATTCGCATTAAGCAGTGTAGAAGGTATACGCAGGACTTTTTTAGTGGATATTATGCTGTAAAGCGACCGTAAGAGTTGCGGGGTCCTCGGCGGTCAGCCACTGGGGGGTTCGTAAGACTTGCGGGAGCCAGGTGTGAGGTCCGTTCGGCGGTGTGCCTCTTAAAAGCGCCGTCGTCTGTAAAAAGTTTTTTTACCTGAGTTATAAAAAAAAAATAGGGCCATACCCTTTAAAAACCAGACAATACTTCTGCATCGGTTACCTGACAGTCCCCAAAGTTCCTGTCGAGAGTGTGGTTTGAAACCGTGAGCATATTTAACTGCTCCATGGCGTTGCTGGTGATTGTCCGTTGCCGTGTATATAATTTCACCACACCATGTTTATTAAGGCCTTCCAGCATAAACAGTAAAACAATAGATTGTCTTTGTATTTACTGCAACAAAATGTACTCTGGATTCTTTTTATGTCATAAAAAAATAAAACAAGATGATTCTCTTGCCACCACACCTGAATGATATTTGCGCATACACACTTGTGAAAATACTTTTTCTTTACAAAAAATTTACTTTATTAACGAATAGGTAAATGAGTTTCATGGTTCGGTATGTATTCCTTTGTAAATAACAATCTTTTTTATATATTTTTTACATGGTACCTAGTACATACGGGGATTTTTTATAGGACCTACTAAAGATTTGCTTAAATTAAGATAATTTCCATGTTGGTAGTACCTATCAAATCTATACAAGAACATACAAAAACTTTGACAACTACTATTCAGATCAGAAACAAAAACCGATTTATGTGAGTTCAATTACTTCTCTGGAATAGGCTATTTGACGGTTTGAAAAATAAAGTACCTACCTACCAAGTATTGGCTATGTGTATTCAAGATGAATTTTGGAAGAGATTTCACTATTCTGACAAAAAACAAGTACAATTGATAATATTATATTACTAAAAGCCTCGAAATAAAAAATATTCTTTGACCAATTGACACGTGGCCAAAAATACCTAGGATTGTCGGAGTCTAAAATGACGTCAACTGCTTGTAAACATGCCGTCGAGTGACATTACTTTGTTCTGTTTGACGTTTTCATGACAGCCGTGTGACGTCACATGCCTTTCAGAGGCCATATTAGCTAGAGAAATATAACCGCGGCATGTTTAAAAATAAAACGAAAACGTTTTCAAAAACTTGTCAAACTCTCAAAAGCCTATTATAGTACCTACTACCAAGTTCAACATTGTTAATTAAAATAAAAACAAAATCACACTCCGAACTAATCACGTTATATCTACGGGAGTTGCAGCGTAATATAAATATACACTGAATATGCAGTGAAAAATTCATATGTCTGCTATGTTCTTTACTTGAGTAACATTCTACTTACAGACTGACGGATGAACGATTCGAAGGATAGCAGAGGCGTAATAAGAGCAGGACTCCATTGTCATATCTGTAAATATTGTATTAGTAAATTCATACTTAGTCATAAAGAAAGTCTTCAAAAATTCATTAAAAAAAACTAAAACTTAATTAAATTAATTTTAATTAAGTTAATTTAATTTTTCGTAAAGACCCCTTTTTTTGTTGCTGTGTAAATGTTTATCATGCATTGACTACAAATATGTACGTTTACAGACCGCAGATGAGGTCATTGGATGTCAAGATGTTAACGTTCACTGTATTTTTTGCCATTTTAATTGTAACAATGGCTAAAGGCATAGACGACGTTTTGGCAGGAACAGGTATTAACATTGAACTCTTATTACTTACTATTAGTATAACAATAAAATTTTCATGATACTATTTTGTCTCCACAGATATTATATATCCAATACCATGTAGATGCAAAGCGACTTGCGCCAACCCGAATCCGAGTAATTGCAAACCAAACACCTCCCGTGCTTGTGAAGTTGGCAAGATCTGGTCCAGCAGTAACGGCAAATGTATCCCAATAAGTGAATGTCCAAGTGAGTAAAAGGTTTGTTTGATTTAGTAATAAAAACAACAACTTTGGGGTAGGTTTCAAACTGCTTGAATAACGACCTGGCATCGCGAAGTGCCGTATCAGTAGACACTCAACTCGGCGCAAAACACGCAAATCGTCCAATAGCGTATCGACTGACGATGATGTAATTTTTTAACAACTATAATTTGAGCAAACACTTATATACTAAAGACTTGAAAAATCTAAAGAGAAATAATTAGTACAATAGTTCAAGCAAAAGTCCAGCTATACTTTTATTTCAATGTTAGGAAAAGAAGTGACTGGCTATTATAATATCGACTATTGGTGCACATAAATGTACACCATGCGGCTTTCAGTGCAGAATTGTGAGCACTATGTGAACCAGTTCATGCTTCACCAATTTTTCTGGTTTGGCGACAAATTCTTAGTGGCAGAAATGTATTATATAGTTTTAGATGCTGAACGCAATACAGCTAGACTGGTATTAAAAAATTGTCTACATGCAGCCTGCGCTGGCAAAATTGATGCCATTTTGGTAATGTACGAGTGGATTTGTAGATCGAATGTTCTTTAACCACCTATATAGATTAGCGAATAAAACTCCTCTATAAACTTTATGAAGGGAGATAGCTATGTTTGGTTCTCGATGCTTAAGAATACCAGATTCGAAATTATAATTTTGTATAATTGAAAGCCTTTTTAGGTCGTTGCACATAACATTATTTTGGTACAATTTTATCAATTTGATATCTTTTCAGAGGATATCGGCTGCAATGGCGATATGAACGCAGTTATCAAGGAGAACCCAAGCGGTTGCCCATCCACTTGCGACCAACCAGACACGTTCCCTTGCAACAAAATGGGTTTGACCGTTGGATGTGTATGCAAACCTGGATACATTCTATCAAATGATGGCAAATGCATAAAACCCGACAGCTGCCCAGGTGATATTATCTCTATCAGTTTTGTCGTCCTCACTATTTTTGTTGTATTGTTTTAAACTTTCATGGTCACTAACATTATAGCTATTAACGGGATTGTTACCATGTACCTTGTTTATCGGAGACTCATAATAGACAAGGTACATGGTAACAATCCCGTTAATAGCTATAATATTTTTGTTCTATTCATATTTTAAGATAAAAGTGAAATCCCATCCCATCGTATTCTATAGGTGCTTCGTTGTATGCTGGCTGACATACGTTTTACGTGAATAAAAAATTATTCAAACGTATGTTGTAAAACAGATTTTTAGCCTTTCCTCTCATAACATCATATATAAATACCTTTATTTTTATTTTTTTTTTACTCGCCTGCAGAAATTTTCATGTGTGTGTGACTGCATGATTATCTATCTTTATTTCTAAAAAACAAGAGACTAATCAGCCGTGCTATTTATTCTGTAAGAATATTTCACCGCGGTATTCGCCGGTGTGATTTGAAATTTATTTGAAATTCGTGTTCTAATTTAAGATCACACCGCGGATTCCGAGTTGAAAAGTGAGTTTGTTCTTAGAGAATATTTGGCACTTTTCTAGGTGGCGACCCTTGTGGATGTAACGCAACATTCGTCGATTGCGCGGACGGATGTCATACCAACTATTGTCCGGAGAATGACTCGCGCGACATTGTTGTATGCGACCCACTGATAGACTGCCCTTCGGGATGTGCATGCAAATATGGTTACGTCAGACTCAGCTCCGAAAACAAATGCATGCTACCACAAGAATGTCGTGAGTATAAATGCCGGAATAGGTACCTAAACAAATCAAGTCTATGTCATGTCTTGTTTACTTACTTAGCTAGATTATAATCATCAATTAATTTTATAAGCAGATAGAGTAATCCAAATAAACCAGGGAAAGAAAACGGCTTGACGTATTAAATAGATTGTATTGAAGATTGCATTAAATCAGTCAATATATGCGTGACTACTGAAGATTATCCTATACTAATATTATAAAGCTGAAGAGTTTGTTTGTTTAGTTGAATACGCTAATCTCAGGAATTACTGGATCAATTTGAAAAAAAATGGGATTGAAAGGGTTTATTGTATAGTGTATTTATCGAGGAGGGCTATGGGCTATATAGCATATCGCTTCAAGGAGCGGAGTATCAACGAAAAATGCTGCGAAAACTGGAAAATATATTCCATTCTCATATTTCCTTCCGTTGCGTGCGCTGCGTAAATGGTTAAAGTTACATACACAAATCATGTATGACGATTTGAGTGTTGCCCTTTAAAAGTGCTATAAAAAAACCGCGACAGTATATGTCCATCTTATTTATTTATTTATTGATAACAACAGCCATCAATTAAGTTTTACAAGTTTGGTTTTACAGTTACATGTGAATCACCCACTATTATTTTCATAATTACATATAAAAAAAAGTTTCGTACCACAAGTATCAAAAATATGTTTCGATTTTTTTAATAAATAATAAATATTTCCAACACTCACACCAATTAGCCTAGCCCCAAAGAAAGTACTGTAAGGCTTGAGTTATGGGATACTAGGGTAACGGATAGAATACATATCGCACCTCCGGCTCTGTCACTTATGCAAAAACATTTTTTTTTTTCAGGATGAGCGTTTAAAACTTTAACATCCCAAAACATACAATATTTAAAGATTTTTACGTGATGAAAAGGTTATACAGCTTAGCTATTCATCTAAAAAAAAATTAAAAAAAAACTTTCAATATTGTATGTTTTGGGATGTTAAAGTTTTAAACGCTTCTCCTGAAAAACTTTTTTTTTTTACATAAGTGACAGTGTCGCACCGGGGGTGCGATATATTGTACATATATAAGTAAATTTATATAGAAATACATAATAAACATACATGACTGAAGTACAAATGCTCATATTAATCACACAAACATCTGCCTCCACCGGGATTCGAACCCGGGACCTCTCGAGTCGGTGACAGTTTGAAACCCGGCGTACAAACCACTCGGCCGAGAAGGTCGTCAATATAATATTGTTAATATTAGTTTAAGTTATAATTTATCCACAACAGCAATTTTACTTTTTCAGCTCCAGTCAATTGTACTAGACCCAACGAAGTATATGATCCCTGTCCTAGCGCATGCTTTTCTGACGACTGCGCTGAAGTCATAAAGCCAGTGTCTGTATGTAACACTTTGGTTAAACCAATATGTAGACCACAGTGCGTATGCGCAAAAGGGTTCGGTAGGGACACCAATGGCGTATGCATACCTATATACAACTGTCGTAAGTATATGAATGAGCGCATTTATCATTGTATGGATGATTCTTGAGAGGCAATTCGATCAAAAGTAATACCTTGTTGTTATGTGTTTATAATTATGTAAAATTTTATACTTCCTATTAAAAGTTTTTTTTTGTAAATTGCGCCAAGGGAACCTATTAACTGAAGTCTTACGATTCACCTATGACGTTGTCTTTATAATTGCGTAGGTATATAGGCATGCAACTGAATGTATATTTTTTTTTTCAGTTCCAACTGCTGTTGTATGAAGAATCTCTTGTTCCAGAGATAAAACCTCCGTATAGTATGTTTCTAAATCAAAATTCCAAATTATTATTTTTCTAAAACGACAATTCAATTCACTTTCGTCTTTGGTATGTACCTAAATAAATATATTTAGTTCAAAAAACTTTTAATGAAGTAAGTACCTTCAAAAACTTTGCACTTATAGGTCTGAGGAATTTAATTAAAAGAATCACCCCTTTAGATATTCTAATAATTGATATGCATAAAACGTCTAAATAAAGACTATTTTTATACATCTTTTTGCCTTATTTCTTCTCTCCCCCAACTTTGTAAGGGGAACTGCTTTTAACGAGATAAAATATATCTTATGTTACTCAGATATTTCTAATATAGCTTTATTTTAAGTTTACTCATTACCAACATACAAATATGGCTGCCATTTTCAATAAACTTTCCGACTACGGGCCTGCTGTTAGAAATTTCAGATTGTAATAAGCTGTGCCCTTCAAGCCGTTTAAACTTCAGTTGCTTGTCTTTCTTTTGACACAGCTTATGAAAAACAACATAAAAGGAACAGAAAGAATAAAATTCAAAGTATAGGATAAATAAAGGGGTTGTGACGGCGACATCTACATGTCCCACATATAAGAACATGGAAGAAATAATCACTCGTCCTCCTCAAGAGCTATCATCACCCAGCTCTGAGAAAGAAACCCTTTAGCCTTCTTACAGGGGTGATAGGTAAAAATAGCGACAAACAAGCTCACTTCCTGAAGATAAGCAGCGGCCATAATAGCCTATAGACGCCTACTATACACAAGTGTCACTAGCGCAACCTAGTATCAAGACTCCGTAGCATGAGCACCACAATTAACATTATACATATCACGGTTAACAATATATTGTTTTAAACTTTCATGGTCACTAACGTCATAGTAATATAAGTTATTTACGGGATTGTTACCATGTACCTTGTTTTTAGCGAGTTTATTAAGTGAGTTAATCCGTGATCATGGCGCTTGTAACAGTGCTGAAATTTTTTTTTTTTTTTTATAGATAGATCCGAAAAATGACTCCACCCCACCTGATGTTAAGTGAAGGTGAAGTCCAGACGCGAAGATAGCTGATACAGCAGTTCTAACTGCCACACCAGCCATCCTCACCCTGCCGGCCTGCAAGTTGCTTCTTCACGCCTCTTTTAAAGGATCCCAGGTTGTAAGAGGGAGGGAACACGTGAGCGGGCAGAGCATTCCATTTACGGATAGTACGACAAAGAAATGAGTCACCAAATTTCTTTGTACGCGTTGGAATTGTAGCCACAGTTAGACGGTGACAACGTAAGCCAGCGCGCGTGGTCCTCTGAAGGAAAGGGGAAGGTGGAATAAGAGAGAATAACTCCTCAGAACACTCGCCGTGGTACAGGCGATAGAACGTGCTTAGTGATACCACGTCACGGCGTAATTGAAGAGGCTCGAGGTGTTTAGTCACCTCCTCATCGCCTATGATGCGGATTGCGCGCCGCTGTAACCTATCCAAAGCATCGAGCAAGTACTTAGCGGAGCCATCCCAGAGGTGCGAGCAATATTCCACGCAAGACCGCACCTGCGTCTTATACAACAAGCACAGTTGCTCGGGCGTGAAAAAACGCCGCACCTTGTTCAGGATATCGGAAACTCGCTAAAAACAAGGTACATGGTAACAATCTCGTAAATGACTTATATTACTATACATATCATTTATAGTAATATAAGTTATTAGTAAGTAGAAGTTATTTAATATGTTTTTATCGTGCCTAACTGTCATAGTCCATAGTAATTTGATAATTATGCGTATTAAAAACGAACTATACAGGGTGTAAAAAAAACCTATGACAAAGACTAAAACTCCACATTTTTATTTTTAAGTTAAAAAAAATCTTTTTTTTTCCAGTACACGTGTGTATGTGTGTGCCTATATGTAAGTGCGTCGCTAAAAAAGGTTCTTAATAACGTTTTGAAAATGTTGATGCATAAATCTTGAAAAAAAACGTGACTTTGATCTTCAATATCTCCTTAACCTTAAACCCAGGTTTGGTCCAGAAGAAAAAAATTAACGTCAAAATGTGGAAAATACGTGGCCTCCGACTTCGTTAAAGGATTTTTGATTTTGATCACCCTGTATATCATTATGGCGGTGCTCATACTAGGGGTGCTGAATATCTTACTCACTAATTCCGGGGCCACATTAACTAAACGGGAAATTTCTTAATTATTGCGATGATGGACGTTTAAGGTACAGTACTTACGCTGTCTGAGTGCAGCTCTGAGGAATGCGCTGGTGCTCGGAAAACAGCTCGAGTTGATATACTGCAGAGGTGCGAGGCGCCGGAGTGTGGGCCCTCAACTTCATACCCCGACTGCACTCAGATTGCGGACCTGCTGTAGATTAAATGTCCACTATCGTGATAATCAACGGCATTACCCGTTAGTGTGGCATTTATCAAGATGTGATGTTATTTCACTATCGTCTTCTGTAAGGTGGAAATATTACTACATTATATAACTAAAAATAAAATCGTGAGCTTTAATAAAAATTAAATCATTAAATAAGTACTTCGCTTTTAAATACTTTATTCGACGAGGAGCAATAATTATTAATTTTGTCGTGACAGCGATCATGTTCCTGCTAATGCTGAAACAGTGAAAAGTATGAAGGTTTCTTTAATTACATAATAACTTTATGTTTTATGAATAACAATTCTTATGATACTTTTTCTTTTTCCAATGGAAATAATTCAGATTATCTTTATATATATAATTGTTCTGTGAGTGTGTATGTCACTGAACTTCTCTTAAACGACTGGACCGATTTTGATGAAATTTTTTGTGTGTGTTCAAGGGGATCTGAGAATGGTTTAGATTCACAATTTTGTCCGCTGGACAACCACTATTTTTTTAGGGCGGTACGAAGTTCGCTGGGTCAGCTAGTAAATACGACAGCAACTATACACAAAGAATACGTCTTGCTAGTTACGTTTATTCAAATAAGCAGCACCATTAAACCAATTCCTGAATTACCCGTTCAGGCGTTACAGTATAAGTAGATGCTGATTTACTTAAAGCCTGTAATTGCAGGAAATTTCAAAGCATTTTACCTGGAGGCCTGCTCTATTTCAACGAAAAGCGAAATTTCGATCGAAATTTCGCACGTGCCTTACTCTGTTTCTTTTTAATTTCGAAAATTCGTTCGTCCGATAATATTTTGACAGTTAAATTCTTCAAGCTTACTCTAATTTACAAAATTTTCGAACGTAAAGTTAAATTTGACAGATAATGTTCCAAATTTTAACCTCAATTAGACGAAAAGAAAAGTGTTACCCTTTTAATTTTCGCGTGAGGTTTTTGCTTAATTTAAGCCTAAAATGACTGCTAGAGTATTTCTTATCAAGGCTGCTTAGGTGAGGGACATTTTTTTGCATGTAAAATTAACAAATAAACCAAAATTTTGTTAATTGTTGCATTTCCAATACTTCAAAGTATTAAATGACATATTTAGGTTGACATGCAATGGATTGCATCAACTCTACAAATTAGTCGGCTAACACTGTCAAAGAAGGTTCTTTTAATGTCATCGAACATTTTGTTGTAATGTAATATTGTTTCCAAGTAAAACAGGTAATCCAAAAATCAGAGAAAAAGAACTCACAAGCATGACTCATTCCATTCGTTCACTAAAATTGTTTGTGATTACGAACTTTATGTGAGTGTTCGAAAATAAAATAGAATAGAGTAACTGGCGAAATTTCGTTAAAATTCGTTCGTTGCCGAAATTTCGTTTAGGAGAAAGAGAGTAGAGCTCCAGAGTTGTGTACCTAAAAATTCTATGACAAGTGAAAATGAATTGAAAAAATATATATAAATAAACTTCGCCGGTGAGAGTTGTGCCTTAAAAATAATTGGAAAATATTAAGAAATTCTTCTAAAGATTTTAACAGACTGATACATCATGCTGTCAGTTGAACAAAAAAGGGATAGCGAAAGCTTATTTATGAGAATGTAAAGCTTGTCCCTTTGAGCACGGAACCCTAAAAAAATAAATACATAATATTTTTATGAGCAGTTAACCTTAGTACTCAAACACTATAAATATCTAGTCCTTACTGCTATATTTCTATTAAACGCAATCAAAATGTCAGTAGCGACTTCCTTTATCGTTATTCTTTTTATTGGCACTTCTATGGGATGCATCATATTACGTCGTAAGTATTATTTGATTTTTTTTTCAATTATGTTATAACGAAGTTCATCATCATCATCAGCCTATTAAGGTCCCCACTGCTGGGGCACAGGCTTTCCCTATATATGGAATAGGGAGATTGGGCCATGACACACCACTCGGGCTCATTGCAGATTGGCGAGTGCTAACGACTACAGATACAGCCGAGACCAACAACTGAACGTGCCTTCCGTAGCACGAAGGAACTCGAGATAAAAGATTTTTGGACACCCATCCAATGACCGACCACTGCGAAAGTTGCTTAACTCCAACGATCACAGCTGGATACCACGGTATCGTGATATTTTTGACAGTCAATCACACGGCATATTAAACTGTCAATAATAGCACGCTACCGTGATATTGTTGACAGTGTAATATGCCCTATCGCAATATCGCCGCAGTAACTTGTGATACTGCGATCAGCGAACCCAGTATCGCGATATTATTGATCAATATTGTCCCCTCCGAAATCTCATATTCAGAGTTACTTGTTTGACTAGCAATAATATCTACATTTTTAACTGGCAATCAATTCTCACTATAACCATCAAGTGACTTTAAATTGTTAACAGCTAAAAAAACATGTGAACCCGTATGTAGGCCAACTTGTGCCTATCCCAATCCATTCAACTGCGGACCAAACAATTGCCCAAGAGGTTATATACGATCATGCGCAAAAGGAAGCTGTATTCGTATATGCGACTGCTCGAGTAAGTTTCATAATTTTTTTTTTAAATAGTGATGCTGAATTCGTCGTCACAATGCCTTTTTCCGTTTAAATAAATCAGTAAAGGTCATCTCCAAGGAACAGCAGACTCTGATTGATTTTCGCTCTTACAGTGTCATCGCCACATCTTATTACCTTTTTGACGTTGCAAGTAGTCTTGATCTGTGCCAATGTCACACTTTCCGCTCGCAATATCAGACTAGGTTCCTAAGATATCCCAGAAAAAGTCAGCTCCAATGAGTGAGTCAATAACGGCTGGTTGATAAAATGTAGGGTCAGCGAAAAGTAAGTTTTTATGTATCAGATGTGCTGTAGCATTGTTTTCATATCTATCCGGCACAGATCTTTGTATGTCTGAAGATTGCGACTACGACATTGGGGACACCCCCTAAAAGGTTGTACACAGGATAAATATTATCCTGTAGCTTTTACGAAAAGGTTTGAGTATGTGAACCAACACCTGTGCTTTCAAAGATGACTCAATATATCGTGACCTTCATCATTCTCCATCTAACTAATTTCTACTATTTTTATTCTGTATAGATGGGACAGGAAACGACTAAGTCGATGCGTCTAATGTTTATTTTTAGAGTACGCCTTTTTTATTATCAGCAGCAGCCTATTAATCCACAGTCGGGGCACAGGCCTTTCCTATGAATAGAACATGGAGATTGAACCATGACACCCAACGCGATCCACGGCCTAGTGCAGATTGGGAGCTTGAACTGCCTTCTGAAGCACGGAGGAGCTCAATTTTTGGTCACCCATCTGATGATCGGCCATTACGAAAGTTTCACGCTCCTTCCACGCTCGCCGACCTAATGCGCTAAACACTTGCACCATCGAGTACGCATTGCCGTGACGCAAATATTGAAGTTGTTATCATGCTACTGTTTCAGCTAGCCTTGGTTGCAACGGAGATCCTAATGCGATGATCC